TACTGATAATATATCTTTTTTGTGACAGACTCTGAAGAAACAGAAAATTCAATAAAGGAACTCATATGTTCTCTGTAGGTTATATTAAAGCATGTGAGAAAGTAAAATGAAATAAGATGTCTTTAAGTACTGAATAGAAAAGGAATTTCTACATATATAGTTCTGGTGATTATAATGTTTATATACAAACACAAATGAAGTTGGAACTTATGGAACAATAAAATATGCAAAGTTAATTTGGGCTCAGACAAGCATGTAGCTTACAGCCTATGATATTTATTTTTGACTTAGATGCCTTACGAATGACTGATCAAAATGGGGTATAGCAATAATCTGTATAACCCTAATTATGTACTGACATTTTTTATTTGCAGGCGATCAAGTAATACAGGATCTACCACTGCAGTTAGCTGTTTCAGACACACAATTGTAGAAGGGGAAATGATGTATGTCCATGAGCCTACTCCTAAGTTTCAGTAATCATGGCAATGTGGTCTGTGAAACAGTGTGTTTGCTGTTGAAAACATTTTTTACAGTCCACTGTGATAACAGAAAAAAATTACATTAGAATTTAGTATGCTGAATCATGAAATAACTCCAATTGCTGTTCATACAGCTGCACAGCCCAGTACTAGAAATTCTGTTTGATGATGAATCTACAAAATCAACAAACTTATCTCAGTTCATACAAGTAAAGTCATGGCATCTGAAAGAATATATCCCATAAGGTCAGAAAAAAGTATAAACCAATACAATAACTAAGCAGATGAATAATATTAGCTTCTCAGAATTTATGTTATTCTGGAAAGGGGAAAAAGAGAATTACCTATGTGAAGAGGTACAGAATACTAAGAAACACAGTATATAAGGAAACAACGAAGAAAGCTCACAGAACTACCTCGACCTTCCTTTATGACAGGCATGGACAATATCAGCAGCTTTAAAAGTGACCATAAAAGGCTGTAATAAAGATCTCCAAGACAAAACATAAGACAGACTTTCTTAAATAAAAATTGCAACAAGGATTTTAAGAATGAAATAAATAAACTATCATCTTCTGCCTTGTAGTTTGGCAAATAGGTGGGAACGTTTCTGATCAATCTACTGCTTCCATCTTCAGGGCAGAAGAGTGAGGAGCTACCTTAACAATGGTGATGGAATGTTCCTTTGAAAGGTTGGTAACTACCTCCTGAACTATACGACACATCCCATCAGACCAGAGGCAAGCAAATGTTACAGTGAAGGGCCAAATGAAAAGGTACATGCATTTTGTTGGAAAAGAGAAAAGAGAAACAGGTCATACGATGTCACTATGGAAGCATTTTTAAGAATGTTCAAAATCAATGAAAACAGATGTTTCTTTAAATTATATGAAAAGGAGTATCAATGTGAGAGATGGCTGTTTATAGTTCCCAACAAATTATCCAATATCTTGCGTAAATCCTGACCTTTCAATGTTCAGAAATGTCATCTATATTCCTAAATCTGTTTTGCTGACTTCATTACAAGTAAATTTCTTTATGTTTGTTTGCTTTGTATGAGGACACAAAAATTGACAACATCTCCTACCTACATTCTCTAGAACTGCAGTATTCAGAATCACATAATTCAACTTCTCCTTTAGTCGTCTATTACTTTTCAACTCAACTCAGTTCCAGCTGAATATTATGTACAGACTTTTCATGTAAGTTGAGAAAGAACAAGTCAACAGCTGAACTTTTACTTCTAATTTCTTGAAATATTTAAACTGACTACAGCAGGGCTCTCTAACTGATGACACATGAGCTGCATGTGGTTCACCAGTTGGTTCTATGCAGCTCACGAGATTATCCTTCCAGTCCTTGAAACACATGTTAACCTCCCCCCATATATACACAGGTGACAAAACTTAAAAAACTCCACAGAAGTGTTTAATAAATATACTGTGTAGTGTTCCAAAGGTTCCATGACACCCATTGAATAACTTGGGGTAGTAATCCCAGGCCATATGCAATATCAAACTCCATCTAGCAAATCTTCTCAGTGACTAACTTTTGAACACTGTTGACCCAACAATACTTTATTTAAATAAACGTTTTTGAACTTTATGGCCCAACTCTTATTTGTGTGTTTGCAGTACTTCATTATGGTCAACAGATATGGATTAAAAACCATGTACTTCACCAAAAGAAAGCATTTTACCTACTACCACTGGCTGCAATCTTGCTCTCACCTTACATCAGGGCACTACTCTAACCGTATGGCCTTATCTAAATTCTTTTGCTGTTAATTGTTGACTGCAGATGTTCCTCCTGACTGACAAAGAGGATTTCAGCTGCATGTGGGGTGTAACAGCAGGAAAACAGACATAGCCATGAGAACCTCAGACATGGTAAAGCAATAAAAACGAATCTTCGTCTTCCATCCAAGAAGCAATGAGTATATTACAATACCTAATGATTCAGCTTCCATTCACTAACTGTCCTAACACTAAAAGGTGGGCAGGGTCAAGCTCCAGCCGTTTGTATGCTTTAGACATATAAATATCTAGCACACATGAACTGAATCAAACATAGTCGAGTACTTATTGCAGCACGGTCAGTGGGATATGAGCTATGGCCTTGAGATGTGCAGTAGCTCTGCTGCCACAACAGCAACTGGAGGTAATTCTATCTCTAATTATGTTCAGCAGTATGGAGAAAGCTATTATCCTAAGTGCACCACTGTTACCCACCTTCTTATGCCTCTCAGAGCTCATGTCCTACTGAATTTACACTCCTGCTCTGTATTCAGGAAGGGCTTGCTTCAATGCTCAGTCTGGCGGCCTCCTATCCTTACATCAGTTTTAATGGTTGTCTTCAGTAGTCCCTTCATGCAAATGCTAAGATAGTCCCTTATGTACACCATTTCACTACTTCCCACATCCTTCATTAATATCCTCCCATTTGATGCTATATGGTAAGGTATATAACTGAGAGGGTATCATTAACTCAACTAAGAAAGCTACACGAATACTGAATGCCAATAACAAAATATATCTCTTTTATCTACTGGATGGCAGTAAAAGGCTAGTTAATGCAGTCTATTTACGGGGAAAAGAAATCAACAATGCAACCATTAGAAACCTATACTTAGTGATAATTATTGAACCCTATGGAGAGGGGCATATGAAATGTTGTACTGATATTAACAATAAACATGGCTACACATTCTGTATGAAACATTCGTTTTTTATGTTCCAAACTGCAAACATGTTGATGGTGGAAAACTCTGTGATTACAATGGACAGATTTAACACAACTGGAATCTATGTATGTGGACACTATGCACAAAAATAGACCACTCAATTGTATAATTATTATTTTATAATTCTGGGTGGCCTTCTCACCATGCAGACTCAAGCAAATGAAAGAAAATAGATGTCCCAGGTTCTTAAATTAAGTTCAAAGCTTCTGAGGGTGAGCTGACAATAGCTCTACTC